TGAAGCAAATGAAATTAACCAAGTATAGAGAATACTTAGAAAAATCTCAAAGTCTTGCAATGTTGGATTTTTTATTCTCTTGACTTTTGATGAACAAACTTCATTTTTTTGGATATCTTGACATAATGTGATTTTTGGGACTCAAAATTGATTAAAAAGTCAAAGTTTGACTTTTTTAGCGTCCGGTTGACTTTTCCAGCAGAAACTCCAATTTTGTTCATTTTGCCCCCTTTTGATAATTTGAATGATTCTTCTTAGAAAATGTGGTCTGAGGCTTGAAACTTGACTGAAGTAATTCTAAGAATACTTGCGACAGGAGAGGGAAAATTTTGAGGTACAACACTAATGGACATTCAATGGCTAAAAAGATGCTAAGGGCAGGTTATTATTGGTTGACAATGGAATATGACTGTTACAAATTTGCAAAGAAGTGTCATAAATGCCAGGTTTATGCGGACAAGGTTCATGTTCCTCTGACACTTCTCAATGTGATTTCCTCCCCATGGCCTTTCTCTATGTGGGGTATTGACGTGATCAGGATGATAGAATCCAAAGCTTCGAATGGACACCGTTTCATCTTGGTAGCAATTGACTACTTTACCAAATGGGTAGAGGCTGCTTCATAAATAGAGGGAGTAAACCCTATTTTTGTAATCCAGACAATTAAGTCAATTCATTGTAATCACATAATTTGTCGTTGCAAGTGTTTAATAAAGTTTTCCACAGTCTGTGGACAGAGAGAAACTCTGCAGAAAATAATTGTCTTCTTTCTTTTCTTTTCTCATAATTCACTATCATTGTGTGGTGATATCAATCTTGTTCATCAAGATTGGTAGAAATTCATCATAGATATTTGGTGGATTTTCAACATTAATTTGACACTTTTCATTTGAACTTGACACCCCTCTTAAGTGGATGAAAAGACCAAAATATTTCGATCAAGATTTTTTACATATTTTGAAATTTCTGGTACCACATCAAAAATTTCAAATTTGCAAGGCGATACTGGAGATTTAGTGGGGCATATTGGAAATTTCATGAAAGAGTAAGAATTTATGGTATTTTATACCAACTTTCTGGTATTTATTTCACGAAAATTTAGAAATTTCTAGTATTTTGTACCAAAAATTTATAAATTTTGGTGATTTTGTTACGTTATATACCAGAAATTTTGAAATTTCCGGGATTTTCACTTTGTGTACCGGAAATTTGTAATTTCCAGTAGTTCATTTTTTTTATTAAATATCATAAATTTATATATTTCTGGTACTTCAATCTTTTTTAAAATTATTTTCTTTATTTGTTTCAGTGAGGACCAGGGGAAAAGACAGTACAGTTGCAGGCAGGCTGATAGAGATGAAAAGCTCATGCCCGAGCTAATAAGGCACAAGCTTTTGAGCTACGTGCAGGGCAACATCCTCCGGCCGATTCTCATCGGAGACTTCTTATTTATTGCATAATATTTTGACGATTACATTTTTCAATTTGAAGATGAACAAAACATAAAATAGCACAACAAACATAAATTAAAAACAACTAAACATGGAAACCTAGACACTACCAGATGATTCTGAATGTTTCAGCATCTTCATTATGTCGTCGAGGGATCTTGTTATCCGCACATCCAACTCGACCAGAACCTTGGTTATCCTACATCAAAATGATTTCCATGGCCTAACGTCTTCGTCGGTCTTCAACTAAATCAGATTGTATTTCACCCTTTCATCACTATCAATTCAATCTTCCCAAAATTCTATATTACTCATCTTTTCGTTATCGGTATCAGGCACCAATTCATTCAATTTATTTGACAAGTTGGTGAGGGATGTGGCGCCATCTGGAAGCTTGAATTCAATAAGAGGATTGTTTCCGTTGAAATACACTACCACCTTAATCAGAAATTGTGAAAGAGGAATTTTTTTGAGATGTCTTTATCTCTAACATATGTTCCTGTTTATACAAATGGCGATGCATTCTAGACCACACAAATCTGTCGGTGTAATCAGAATCCTCCAAAGTTGTCGATAAAATCCTGACCGTTAAAAAACTTGAATTATGAAACTACTGGAAATTTTAGTGTAAATTTTCAGTATCGTGTCCTAAATTTAAAATTTCGGTTGTACCAAAAATTCATATGAACTGACAAAAATTTAATACTAACTTACCAAAAATTTTCTCTGTATAAAAAATTGTACTTGTTCTACCAAAAATTTCGTCTAACAATTCTTCTTAAATCAGCAAATGATAATTAAAATTTAGAGGAGAGATGTCAGGTTCAAGTGAGTGGGATCAAGTTAAAACCTTAGTAAAGAAGTGAAAAACACAAGAAGGGGGGTTGAATTGAAAACTTGAAATCAAAAGTGCAGTAGACACGATATTTTTATCCTGGTTCGTTTGATCTCAAACTACTCCAGTTCACCCGCCAAGGTGATTTCGCCTCTCTCCAACAAGGACTTAATCCACTAATGAAACAGATTACAAATCTACTTTAACAACTGTGAAAGTCTTCTTGAGTCCAAAACCACAACCCGATTTTCTCAAGGAATTTCACTAAACAATTAATTGAATAAAAGTGTACGATGATGTTTCTAAATAAACAGTATCACAAACTTGTGATATATTACACAGTTTAATATTGAATCGTTGAAGATGACGAATGAAATCTGCGTTGTTTACTTTTTCACGTGAGTTTTTCTTTATGAGCGCAGTTGTTCATCATCTTGAAATCTTCTTATAGTCTGCTTTATATAGGCCTTGCAATAGAGACATAAGAAGATACTTTTGGTAAGTCCATAACACGAGTTGATGAGCTTTCCAAATCAGGAGATCCTTGTCTGCTTGTAGCCGTTACTTATGATCTTGCATTGATGGATTTGTAACGCTTCAGAGCTTCTCACATCAGAGGATGAATATTACCATTGAGAGTTCTTTACAGCTTGATCTGAATTTTGCACACCAGAGTATCAGAGATTTTGTTTCGCAGCGCTGGTGCATTCAGAAGTTCAATCAGAACTTCTTCATATAAGCGTGTCATGCATATTTGATGCGTTTGAATCTTTCATTGTCCTCTCAACTTTTGTGCTCGCATAATCAGAACTTTTAGTGATGTTCTGGCAGAACTTCCAGTTGCATCAGAACATCTTTTTAACATCAGAACATCCTGCATGTAAAAATATTTTTATTAGCGAGCATATTTGTTCTTTATATCATGTGTTTGTTATCATCAAAACTCTTATTGGAATGTAGAACCAAATTATGTTCTAACACTCAGCACAGTAATATTAAAAAAAAATTGAAGAAAAAAAGTGTATTGTAAAAAATTGAGGAAAAATATGCGGTGGTGGAAAATTTTCTTTTTGTAAAGTTTCAAATATTTTTATTTTTTAAGTGATTGGACAATTCTAATCACTTAAAAAATAAAAATATTTATAGCATTGTAATCCATTTAGCTCAATTTTAAAAGATTAAAAGATTCTAAGTATTTTAGATTTGGTACTTAAAACTAATTCATTTATTTCACAATTTAAAATAAAAATAATATTTAATTTTAGTATATAAGCTTGAGTTTAGAAGGTTTAATTATTCTAATAAATGGTACATCTTGTAATACAATTAAAGAAAATTGATTGGTTTTGTATTTGAAGTTCAAATTTAAAATGGACGTGGCCGATAAATTTTAAAAAAAAAATAAAAAATGTGATTGATTTTAAATTTGATCTTAAAGTTAAATATGTTCCAATTAAATACCTAAATAATAACAACATAACAAACCAAATCGGCAGGTTTGAGCATTTTTATTGATTATAGAATCTATTTTTTTTATGATATAAAATCACTCATTTTTTTATATTGGTAGTAAAGAAGATAGAAATATTGTTGGCAGAGTTAAAGTTACGATTAGGGCTATATGAAAAAATATTAATGATCTTATTTAGAATGATGAATATGAAGATGATTCTAAACTTAGTTGGCTTGTAGTATATTATAAATGGTGGAATTGATTTTCGGCACAACATATTCAAGATAATAACAATGATCATCTACACCTTTTAAATTAGTGTCCGCCTCCTCATATTACATTAAGTGTAATTTAAACGCGATTTTTAATAATAATAGAGGTACGACAAATAAAAAATGATGTATTAGAAATAAATTTAGTAACTTTATCTCAGCTGAAGTGAATTGCAATCCAAATCCAAACACCCATTTTTCTTCTTAATAAAGTAGCAGCACGACATGACTTGCTTTATGAAATAAATGCAATTTTTGGCATCATTCCTTTGAACTTTTATAACTCAATCAACTTGTCTAGTCCCTCTTGTCTCTTAATTGCATACACCCTTGCTAATACGGCATATATATAAGTGATGGTTAATGATAGGAATGGTTTAAATTGTTAGTTTGGATTGTAGAAGATATTCATCAATTCAAACGTAATTTTTATGAGTTTTTGTAAGAACCCTATGACTTATTTTAAGTAGGGTATAATTGATTTGGAATTTCTCTTGTTGTAATCGGTTAAGAATACCCCTAATACTTTTATATGAAATCTTTGCTTTCAGAAAGAAAAAGAAAATAATAATAAATGGATGAAAAGTCTTAAAGTGCAAATTTGTAACTCATTGTACCAAACAAAAACCATATCTTAGAAGATATTAGAATTTCCATGCAGGTTTATGACACATTACCAAACACTGTCCCACAATAGAAAAGGTCTTGTAAGCTAGTTTGGCATCACATTTAATAGCAAAAGCTGGAGGCGGCACTAGCAAATAAAAACTGATTTAACCTCAAAGATTAAGACCCTTGATTCAATTTAAGTCTAGTAAATAATTCTAGCCACCCCTTATAAATTGAGCCAAGCCATGTGCTTCAATTCATACACATCCTCAACTTCCACCCCTTAAACACACACTTGAAACAAATTCAGATTAAGAATGGCAAATTCCCGCATTGCAAAGTTTTTCATGGAGGTGGCACCATCACAATATGTCACTGTGATGAGGCGTAGAACATCAAAGATGATGGAAACAATTACTGAAGATGAAAGAGAAATTAGCTTGAATGATATTGTATTTTCACCACCTAAAAGTTCATCACCTATTTCAGCTTCATCACTTGCTACTTCTGCATGTGCCTCTTCTGCCGATGCAAGTGCTAAAAGTAGGTACTTTCTGAAAGAAGTTCATAGAACACTCTGTTTAAAGCACGCTGAAGCAACTCAATGAAGCAAAACAAAACAAGATAATCTTTGGTGGCTGTTTCCATGAGTCATGTAAAGCTCTTATATTTGTTTTTTTTTTTGTTTTTTATTCTTCTTCTCTTTTATTTTATGTGATATTATTTGGTTCAATGTTTTTCGTGGACAATGATAATTGAGACTTTGAGAGTGTAATGTTACATTATTATTGTTATTAATAATATTAAAACTCAAAACTCTCACAGATTTTTGACATTCAAACGTGTAATAACCGCTTTCTTATCATGTGCAATTAGTTGAGGCACCCAAATGAATAAAATAAGGTTTAAGGGAAAATATTTCAAAATACTTTATTAATTTATTTAATTATTACATGTCAATAATGTTATTCCATTCGTCTCACAATAGGTCTTCTTTTATATTTTTATTTGTCTTAAATTATTTGTCAATTTAGAATATCAATGTGATATTTATTATTTATTTTTATTAATTTATTCTTATTTATTGTATTTTAATTTATATAATTATTCCACTACCTATTATTAATAAAGTTATTTTAGCAAATGTGACTCATTTTATCAATGAAATCAACATAATTAATTATTATCTTAAAAAATATAAAAATCTTAAAGAAGTCACCTATTATAAGATAGAGTTTGTATTATGTATGCATGTATATTTATATAATTATATTAATTTATTAGAGTAAGGCCAAAATGATAGAGGCATTAGTTCTGTTTAAACTTTGTTTGTGACTAACATTTGTCAAGTCCTGTGTGCTAGCTTACCTGCTGTAGCAGGTCACACAAGTTGCCTTATAAATGCAACTGTTGCATCTTCTGTAACTAACTTTTGTAATACTGTAACAGAAATGAAAAGCTTTTCTATACTTTCTATCTCTTCTATCGTGATATTAGATTAAGCCATTCTCGATCCATGGCGTCATCGGGATCGTCGTCTTCCGCTAACGTCACGGTGCCAACCTCACCGTTCACGACAGCGACTGATGAAATGTGTCGTCTCCAATTCTCGCTCAAAATCATGCACAAACTCGATGAGAAAAACTTCCACCTCTGGCGTCAACAGGTAGAACCCTACATCAACGCGCACAATCTCACGAATCTCGTGGTGTGCACTCGAATTCTGTCCAAATTTGTGGACGATGATGCTCGTCGTTAAGGTATGATTAATCCCGCGTATTCAATTTGGCTTCAGAAAGATCAATTGCTTTTGTCTTGGCTTCAATCAACTCTCTCGAGCGAAATTTTGTCGCGTGTCATTGGATGCTCGCATTCGCATCAACTCTGGGATTGTTTATTCAGTTATTTCCAGAAGCAAACTCGTGCACGTGCACACCAATTACGCGTAGAATTGCGTGCCCTAACTCTGGAGTCTCAATCTGTTTTTGATTATTTGTTGAAAATTCGCACTACTGTGGATGCTTTGGCCTCAATTGGAGATCCCATTCCCAACTCTCATCACATTGATGTGATTCTTGAGGGGCTTCCTAGTGAATATGCTCATGTTGTTTCTGTCGTTGAGAGTAAGTTTGGTGATATGGATTTGGATGAGGTGGGAATTCTCCTAGTTGCACATGAGTTGAGGCTGAACAGGTTTAAGAAGTCTATTGTGCCAGATCTTGGATCTCTCAATCTTACACATGTTTCACCTCAAGCTACTTCCCCTGAAAATCCTCAATCTGGCAGCACTGATTCTGCTCACTCACAAGTAGCTCCCTCCCGTGCTGAGCCTGGATATTCCAGTTTTAGAGGTGGCAGATCAAACAGGGGTGGTCGTGGCAAAGGTTCAGGTGGCAGAAACTCTACAGTTCAGTGTCAAGTTTTCTCCAAAGTTAGACACTCAGCTTTAAATTATTGGCATAGGTTTAATCAGAACTTTCAGCCTCCCTCTTACAGTTGCAGTCCCTATCATGCTGCTCCTTGGCAGTTTCCTAAGGTGCCTTATGGCCATTTTCCTACTAATGTGTTGACACGACCTCCAGCTGCTCAAGTAAGGCCATCTCTTACTTATTCTGCTCCCAGCACATTCATTGCAAATGCCACTCCATCTTCTTCTGTTATGTCCTGGTACCCTGATTCAGGAGCTTCATATCATGTCACCAATGATGCCAATAATCTGTAGCAAGCCACACCTCTTGAGGGTCATGAACAGATCTACATAGGCAATGGCCAAGGTCTTCTCATCAACTCTACGGGTTCTAGTCAATTTTTGTCTCAAAATCACCCTCACACACCTCTCACACTAAATAATCTCTTATATGTGTCGTCTATTACCAAAAATCTCATAAGTGTGAGTCAGTTTTGTCGTGACAATCAGGTATACTTCCTTTTCACAGCTTATTCGTGCTTTGTCAAATGCCAGGTATCTAGTGCTGTTCTGCTGACTAGTCATATGGGGTCTGATGGGCTATATGAGTTTCCTATGCTCAACATTTCCAAATCTGCTGTGTCTACTAAGCCTTTAGTTTCTTCAAATAAACTTGTAACTTATGTTAATACTGTTGATGTTTCTCCTGCTTTGTCCAATGTATGGCATTTAAGACTAGGTCATCCTAATATCAACACCTTGAGATTGGTGCTACAAAGTTGTAATCTCAAATTTAGCAATAAAATTCATGACTTTTTCTGTTCTGCTTGTTGTATGGGTAAATTACATAAACTGCACTCATCTGCCTCACACACCACTTATTCTCACCCTTTAGAACTTGTGTACTGTGATCTGTGGGGGCCTTCTCCTCAACCTTTAGCACAAGGTTTTACCTACTACATCTCCTTCGTAGATGCCTTTTCCAGGTTCACATGGCTGTATTTACTTTAAACTAAAGCTGAAGCACTTAGTGTCTTCAAGCAGTTTAAGTCTCTTGTGGAACTGCAATTTGGATTTCCCATCAAAGTTATTCAGTCAGATTCAGGTGGAGAATTTCATCCCTTCAACAAGTTTCTCTCTGATCTTGGAATTGTGCATAGAGTTATCTGCCCTCATACTCACCATCAAAATGGAGTGGTGGAAAGGAAGCATGGGCACATTGTGGATCTAGGCTTGACTCTTTTAAGTCAAGCCTCCCTACCATTAACATATTGGGATTATGCCTTCACCACAACTGTTTTTCTCATAAATAGACTTCCCTCCTCAGCTATTCAATTTCAGGTTCCCTATACTCTTCTGTTTCACATTGTCCCTAACTATAAGTTCTTGAAGGTGTTTGGTTGTGCCTGTTTTCCCCTTCTGAGACCTTATAATGCGCACAAACTGGAATTCAGGTCTCATGAATGCCTGTTTTTAGGTTATTCGAATTCTCACAAGGGTTATAGATGTCTTTCCCCTAGTGTCAAGCTTTATATATCCAAAGATGTTTTGTTTCATGAATCCAGATTTCCCTATCTGGAGCTGTTTTCTCCACCTACTTCTCCTACTCTTAATGTCAATAAACCCACCAACCAGACTCCTTCATCATCTCTATCCTTCCTGTTTTCCAGCATCCCCCTTCCTAAGCCTGTGCCTCTAAAAGTTGTTCCCTTTTCTTCTAATAACTTACCGGCCCCTGCCATTCCCTCCAGTTCCTCTACTTCTACAAGTCAAGCAGGAGGCATCTCTCCCTCTCTTACTGAGCTTGCAACCAATATTTCTTCTCCTTCCCAACTGTCCTTTGTGGCTTCTCTTTCAAAACCTCTGACAGCTACCCCTACACCGTGCTATATTCCTACTAATGCTGTAGCAGTTAGCTCTAAACCTGTTAATTAACATCCAATGATCACAAGAGCTAAAACTGGTTTTGTGCAACCAAAGGTGCTACTCACTCATACAGAACCCAAAACTGTAAAGCAAACTCTTGTAGATGCTAAGTGGAAAGAGGCTATGCAGTCTAAATTTGATTCCCTGAGTAGCAATAACACCTGGACTGTTGTTTCCCTTCCTCCTAATAGGTAGTCTATAGGCTGCAAGTGGGTGTTTCGCATCAAGGAGAACCCTGATGGCTCAGTCAGCAGGTATAAGCCACTCCTTGTAGCAAAAGGGTTTCATCAGAAGCAAGGGTGTGATTTCAATGAGACCTTTTCCCCTGTTGTGAATCCAATTACAATCAGACTCATTCTAACCATTGCTCTCACCCACAAGTGGTCCCTTCAACAACTTGATGTCAATAATGCTTTCTTGAACGGGCTTCTTCATGAAGAGGTCTATATGGATCAACCTCCTGGTTTTGTTAACTCAGATTCCTCCCTTGTGTGCAAACTGCACAAATCCCTCTATGGCCTGAAGCAGGCTCCTAGGCAGTGGGTTGAAAGGATGCAAGAGGCCCTCCTTAGGCTGCATTTCAAACCCAACAAGTGTGATCCTTCCTTGTTCATCTTTGCTGCCAATGGTAACACTGTTTATTTACTTGTGTATGTGGATGACATTATCATCACCATCAATAATACTACCTTGATTTAGTCTATTATTCATAAACTCAATTCTGCTATTTCTCTCAAACACCTGGGAGATTTGGATTATTTTATTGGGATTGAAGTAAAATCTGCTGCTCATGGATCCCTACTCCTCACCCAATCCAAGTATGTTAGGGATTTATTGCACAAAACTCACATGGCTGATTCTGCCCCTGTTGCCACTCTTATGCAGTCCTCCTGCAAGCTAACTAAACTTAGCTTCCCTGCTCTTGCTGATCCTTACATGTACAGGTCAGTGGCTGGTGCCCTTAAATATGCAACCATTACAAGACCTGACATTTTCTATGCTGTCAATAAAGTTTTCCAGTTCATGTCTCACCCTCTGGAAACGCACTGGGTTGCTGTCAAAAGGATTCTCCGATATCTCAAGGGCACTGTTCAGTATGGTCTTCATCTCTCCCCTCATGTTCCATCTGAAGTTCCTTCTCCAAGTTTTCTGTGATGTTGATTGGGCTTCAGACCCTGATGATATGCGCATTACATCTGGTGCAACCATCTACTTTGGAGGAAATTTAGTATCCTGGTGGTCCAAGAAGCAACTTGTGGTGGCTAGGTCCAGCAAAGAAGCAGAATACAGGAGTCTAGCTCAGGCCACTGCTGATCTACTCTGGCTTCAAACCTTGTTAGTTGAACTTTGTGTTCGTGCAAAACAGCCTGTGGTTTTGTGTGACAATCAGTCTGCAGTGATGCTGGCTCACAATCCCATTATGCATTCCAGGAAGAAACATATAGAAATTGACCTCTTCTTTGTGAGAGAAAGAGTTCTTTCCAAGCAGATTCGAGTTGCTCATATTTCTGGTGTGGATCAAATTGCTGATGTGCTAACCAAACTTCTCTCTTCCGCTAAATTCCTGGATTTCAAGCACAAACTCAGGGTTGCTTCAAGCAGCTCCCCCGTGATTTTGTGTGTGTGTGTGTGTGTGGGGGGGGGGGGGGTGTTAGAGTAAAGCCAAAATGATAGAGCCATTAGTTCTGTTTAAGCTTTGTTTGTGATTGACATTTTTCAAGTCCTGTGTGCTAGCTTACCTACTGTAGCAGGTCATACAAGTTGCCTTATAAATACAACTGTGTGCATCTTCTGTAACTAACTTTTGCAATACTGTAACGGAAATGAAAAGCTTTTCTATACTTTCTATCTCTTCTATCATAGTTATTTATAAAGTATATCTCTTATTTAATTAATGACTGGATTATGTAACAATATTCATTAAAACTTTAAATAAGATAATTAATTATGTATTTAATCAAATTATATATAGACTTCATGTTGGATGACTTATTTGAAATAATGAGGACTCAAATTTATTATCATATTATGTAGACTATATATTTTTCAATATATCTAGAAATATATTATCACTTCTAGTATCCAAAGCATTAGAAATACCGATTGAATTTTTTTATAGATTAATCATTGTTAATTATATATTTTTACACTTTTATATTTTTGATGAATACTAAAGAATTTTAGTCGTGAATAAAGATATTTTTGCAATCTCATATTGACTTATCATCATGAATAAAGATATTCTTGCAATTTCATCTTTCATGTACTAGTATGTCCTAGAATAAAAATAATTTGGTTTAAAATTTTAATTGCAAATTTAGTATTATTATCATTATTTATAATTTTAATATTATTTATATTTTATGAATGGTTACCGTTTGTTAAGTATTATTTTAAAAATTATTTTTTCTTCTTCCATTTTTTAAATAAGTGGACTGTATTAAAACGAGTATAATGGATACTCGACCCCGAAAGGAAGAGCATAGTCACAACTACCTCAAAATCACTAAAGGATTTGACATCCAAATAGCTTTAGTACTATCTAGTTGACCCTTCGATCTAGAGCTAAGCCAATTGCAAGCTAAAGATTTTGCCACAAGAACAATCTCATGACTCCATTTCATGCCACCATTAAACAAAATGTCATTTCTAATTAACCAAACAACCATTACAACAACTAACCAAATGAGGATCCTATAGTTTCCCTTCATCCTCCCCTACATTATAGAGTCAAACAACAACGAGTGATCAACAATATCAAAAGATCAACTAAAATTATTCACCCCTATCCAATAAAAATAAATGACCAAAGCTTAACAACTACATTGCAATCAATAAAGAGGCGATGACGAGACTCTTTTGTTTGAACAAAATTTGTTCATACTCCTTGGATTTTGATGATAACAAAGTACTAAAAGAACAATATATACTAACATTTGTTTAACTGTGAAGGATCACTAAGCTAGTAACTAACTTGGTTATGGCCAAATTAAATAGCTTATAAAGAAGAAGCATGTAACTCAGATTCTAATGGATCAGAATTTAATTGTCACGTAGAACCTCATCGCCTATTGTCTAAGCTTTTGATGAGGTGGAAACATAGTACAACACCTTTAGTTTTTACTCTGTGTAAAGCAACTCCATCTTGTCAATTTCCAGAATTATGGAGAAATTCAACTAGAGGTTCTAGCGCAAGGCTCAAGGATGTTTGACACGACTTCTTCAGTCTAATCCAGCTTGCCTATAGTCACCTTACTTGAAAAAGACACAATGGATAAAGAGATTATTTAGAAGTTGAAGATCCTAATTGTACCTACTCCAACTACTCTCTCTTGGTAACTACTTCATCAACAAAGTTACTTGTGCAAGTAAGCTCCCAATGTCTCTTTTGTTCCCTTTATATAAGGAGCTAAAGATTCAAAAGAATACGCAACAACATCCACCAATAGAAAACAAGATATGTTCCATTCTCTAAGCTTTCGTACATAGTTGTTGTATTGCACATAGACTTGAGATTTTCTTACACTTGTATATCTTGGAAATATTAAGTAACAAGGTCTTTCTTGTGTTGTATCTATTGTACCTTTGATTGTATATCAAGTACATCTTGTTGTAATCCTAAACAATTTGTTTAGAATATGTAAATCCTCAAACTGTGAGTTTGAGCAAGGAAGTCTCTAGCTAGGTTTCTTGAGCATGGAAGTCCTGAATTGTGAGTTTAGGTAAGGAATTCTCTTTCTAGTTTGATTAAGCAAGGAAGTCCTGAACTGAGAGTTTAGGCAAGAAGTCTCTTTTAGATGTGATTGAGCAAGGAAGTCTTGGACTAGTTTGTCTAAGCAGGTTATAATCAGGTTTTGATTATAGGGAAAAGATCTTGTGGAACAAGGGAACTGGACTATTTTCGTTATAATGGAACCATGATAATTTTTGTGTATGATTTTACTTGTATCTTATATAATTTAAATCATTCAGTTTTCATTAACACTTGCTCAGAATCTAAACTTGGTCAAATTCAATAGCTGTTGTTCTAAGAAACAAAATTTTACCACATACACAATTCAATCCCACCTTCTTGTATATTTTTCTCACCTTCAGTTGGCATCAGGGCAGGGTCTGTGCTTAACACTTAATAGTAGTATAAAAAAAGATCATGAGAAAAATATATTAGATGGCTGACACTCCTGATTCTAGTGATCTTAGTACTTCTAGTAGTACTGGTATTCCTCATGATTACAATGCATCTGAAAAGAACCACTATTCAGATAAACCACGTATATTTAATGGTGATTCCACTCACTTTGAATGGTGGAAGAGCAAAATGTACACATAAATTATTGGCTTTGATGATGAGCTATGGGATATCCTTGAGGATGGTATTCATATTGAGGTGAATGGTGTGGGAATGGTTGCTGGAAAAAAACTTCTCGCACCAACTCAAAAGAAAGTGTACATAAAACACCACATAGTAAGAGGTATTTGTATCGATGCTTTACTTCACTCTGAGTACATAAAAATCATAGATAAGTCAACTATTATGACTATCTTTGAATCTTTATGTGCTACTTATGTAGGTAACCAGTAAGTGAAAGAAGCTAAGGATAATCTTATGGTTCACCTGTAAGAACTCTTTAAAATGAAGGATTATGAACACATTGAAACCATGTTATCTAGGTTTCAAGTTCTTGTATCAAGCCTTCAAGTTGTGAATAAGATTTATACATCTACAAATCATGTCAAGAATATTCTGGGGAGTCTCCATGTGAGATTCATACCCAAAGTTACAACTATTCAGGAGGTTAAAGACTTGAATACTATAAGCCTTGAAAGTTTGTTAAGCAACCTTCAGAGCCACGAGATGGAATTGAATGGATATGAGCTTGTAAAGATGTCCAAATCATTGGATTTAAATTCTACTACTAAGAAATACAGTGGTAAAGCTCTTAGATCCTCAAGAGTAAGCAAATTAGAAGAAGCTTATGATGAAAGAGTTTATGATGATATTTCTGATA